CACACATACACACACACACACACAGTGGGGATCGAAAGTTTGGGCACCCCAAGCTAAAAATTTGTATTAAATGTGCATAAAGAAGCCAAGGAAAGATGGAAAAATCTCCAAAAGCCATCAAATTACAGATTAGACATTCTTATAATATGTCAACAAAAGTTAGATTTTATTTCCATCATTTACACTTTCAAAATAACCGAAAACAAAAAAATGTCTGCAAAAGTTTGGGCACCCTGCAGAGTTAATATCTTGTACTGCCCCCTTTGGCAAGTATCACAGCTTGTAAACGCTTTTTGTAGCAAGCCAAGAGTCTTTCAATTCTTAATTGAGGTATCTTTGCCCATTCTTCCTTACAAAAGTCTTCCAGTTCTTTGAGATTTCTGGGCTGTCTGTCACGCACTGCTCTTTTAAGGTCTATCCATAGATTTTCAATTATGTTGAGGTCAGGAGATTGTGAAGGCCATGGCAAAACCTTCAGTTTACGCCTCTTGATGTAATCCCCCATGGATTTCGAGGTGTGTTTAGGATCATTATCCATTTGAAGAAGCCATCCTCTCTTTAACTTCAGCTTTTTCACAGATGGCATCAAGTTGCCATCCAAAATTTGCTGAAATTTTATTGAATCCATTTTTCCTTCTACTCGTGAGATGTTCCCTGTGCCACTGGCTGCAACACAACCCCAAAGCATGATTGATCCAACCCCATGCTTAACAGTTGGACAGAGGTTCTTTTCATTCAAATTCTGTGCCCTTCTCCAAACGTATTTTTGCTCATTCCTGCCAAAAAGTTCAATTTTAACCTCATCGGTCCACAGAACTTGTTTCCAAAATGCATCAGGCTTGTCTATATGTTTATTTGCAAAGTTCAAACGATGATTTTTGTGGTGAGGACATAGAAGAGGTTTTCTTCTGATGACTCTTCCATGAAGACCATATTTGTACAAGTATCTCCTTATAGTGGAATAGTGTACCACAACTCCAGTGTCTGCCAGATCTTTCTGGAGGGATCGTGCAGTCAAACGTGGGTTTTGAATTGTTTTTTCTCACAATCCTGCGAGCTGTTCTGTCTGATATTTTTCTTGGTCTTCCAGATCTTGCTTTAACTTCCACTGTTCCTGATGACTGCCATTTCTTAATTACATTCCGAACAGAGGATATTGACATCTGAAAACGCTTTGCTATCTTCTTATAGCCTTCTCCTGCTTTGTGAGCGTCAACTATTTTCAGTTTCAGTTTTCTAGACAACTGCTTAGAAGAACCCATGGTGCTGATTGTTGGGGCAAGGTCAGATGAGTCTGGGCACTTAAAACCTTTGAGCTTGACATCACCTGGTCTTCCCAGACGATGATTGAGAACAATCCATGACACTGGCAGGTCTCAGCTTTGCAAAGGGGGCAGTGCATGCTATAAATTCTGCAGGGTGCCCAAACTTTTGCAGACACCATTTTTTTTTTTCTCTGTTATTTTGAAAGTGTAAATGATGTAAATAAAATCTAACTTTTGTTGACATATTATAAGAATGTCTAATCTGTAATTTGATGGCTTTTGGAGATTTTTCCATCTTTCCTTGGCTTCTTTATGCACATTAATACAAATTTTTAGCTGGGGTGCCCAAACTTTCGATCCCCACTGTGTATATATTATATAATATATATATATATATATATATATATATATATATATATATATATATATATATAGAGACATACATACATACACACACGCACACACCTGGTCAGCTACTTAGGATCACTGAGGCCTGAGTAAAATGCTACATTAAATCAAGAGTAATATGTCAAGTATTATGGAGCAGGAGAGCAAGTGTAGGCATTATGTGCCAAGTTCAACAGAGAGCCATTAATCTGAGCCAACAAAAGGATTGAAACAGTTTCTGGGGAGAGGTCAACAGACTAATACATTGTTAGAAAATGTCACTTCCACTAAACAGCCTGTAAAGAGCATCTGTGTATCTGTCCTAGTTCATCTGTGAACAGTGCAAAACGCAATCCTACATAACCCAAACCCTCACAATGAACTTGTCCTATTTGGTCTCTTGTTCTGTTATATATTCCATTAAAAGTGTGCTTTTTTTTTTTTTTTTTTTTTTTTTTAAAACACACAACAAATAAATACTCGTTGACCTTGCCAGACCATTTAAAACTGCCACTTGGCAAAAAGGGAAAAATAAAGAAAATACAAACACCACACATCCAGGAGGTGGCAGGATCTCATCCTGAACACCAAACAGCAGCTGCTTAACCACACTCTGAAAAGCAATCCCTTACAGATCACTTTTCAGACAATAGGCTAGTGTGAAACTAGCTTTACAATATTTTTAGCCAGCTCTGAACTTACAAAAAAAAACACCCCCTCTATTGTGAACAAAAAAAAAACCTTTGAAAAAGTAATAATATAGCCACTAAGATGCAAGATATATATATTTTTATATATTACACACACACACACACACACACACACACACACTCTTAGGGCAAGCCCCATATGCTGCTACTTGGCAGGGTCTCCCCCATTCATACCCCAAATATTCATAAGTCTCCACAACTTACACTCAGCAGCTAAACTCCCCCAGCCTTGCAAGCGAAGAAGAAAAAAAAAAAAAAAAAAAAAAAGGGAGGTGGATTGCTTTACAGATGGTGGCAGAGTGGCAGTTTAGGCATTCAGGAGGCACTTCTGTTGGGTGTTTCCCCCCCCCCCCCCCAATCTCAAGGGGGATTTTATATTGAAATACCAAGTCACAAACCAAATCATTTGGCCTGTGGTTGCAGCATGGTCCCACTGACCTCCATAGATGACACTGACAGCCCATCCCCATAAGTTTACTAAATCTGCTGATTAATACAATTTTAGCTTTTACGTAAAGTAGCAGAATCAAAGTATAGTGAGCGTATGAGTTTTACTTTAGGAGTTTTATTCCCCTTACGTTATGATGCATGTGTGCATAAAATCTTAACGCAACACCAGGATAAGAATAAAGTGGTATTGCAACCAAAAACAAATGTAATATATTGCAGCTTACCAGTCCTTAGATGTGGTGGCTGCATTAGTTTTATTTTTTTAAGCTTTTTTTCCCCCTTTATTTCATTTGGTGATCTGGCCACACACCTCCTATCTTAGGGTATTTACATTCTGGATGAAGTAGTACAGCAGACACCTTTGGACAGCAGCATTGTCAGCCTGCGGGGAAGGGAATGTTAAAATAGCAGATTTAGAATAACTAAAATTAAAGCTGAACTCCAGCTAACACTCTGTAGACAGTTACAGCACAATGTTTCACTTTTACCTTTTGGGATAAAGGTTTTACATAAATAAAATGTCAGTGGGAAATGGTCTGCCTCAAACACTCTGACACTTTTGCTGAGAAGTATTCTGTTAAAGTAATTTGAAAAACAACACTTACTGTCTGCATCACCAGCTGAAAATAAGTGAAGAAAAAAAAAAAAAAAAAAAGCTTAAAAAATAAATAAATCTTAAAATTGCAATTTAATACATTGTCTTAGGGCTCGTTCACACTTGGATGTTTTACCAACGCTTGCCAAACGCCCCTATAGTGTTTGGCAAGCGTTGGACCGGCGTTTGCGGAGCGTTTTTTAACGCTCCGAAAACGCCGCATGCACGGTTTAGCGGAAGTTGCTATGAGTTTGCCGAGCATTAACACACCCCACAAACGCCTAAAATGCAGTTTGAGTGGTGTTACCGCTCCGCAAACGCCCCGCAACCGCTCCGCAAACACCCCCCGCAAACGCCGGCCGGGCATTTGCGGAGCGGCACCATAGACGAGAATAGGAGGCTTCAACGCCTCCTGACTCAACCAGAGGCGTCCGTTTTGCCGCCACGCAACACGATGCAAACGCTCCCGTTAGAACAGCACCATGTGCTGTAATGTGCAGAATTGGCAGAGGCGTTTGGGAAGCGGTAAAAAACGCTTCCCAAACGCCTCTCTGTCGCCTGCACACAACGCTAGTGTGAACGTAGCCTTAGATTGTAAGCTCCAAGGATCAGAGCCCTCCTAACCCTCTTGTATTGAACTGTATTGTTGCGGTTTTGTCTCCCGTTATATTGTAAAGCTCTGAGCAAACTGTTGGCGCTATATAAATCCTGTATATTATTAATGAAAAAAAAAAAAAGCCTAAAATAAATAAATCTTAAATTGCAATTTAATACATTATTGTTGTCGGGTTTAATATCGCTTTGTGTCGGGTTGATGAAGGAACAAATTAGCACAATGGTGACTATTTCACTCACTTTTGCAATCAATAAAAATGTCAATGACATTGTGATCATGTGTTCTAGTTTAATGCTTGCACAATAAACATACTGTAGTTGTCATCCAGTTCATCCGACATCATTGTGGTGACCTGGTGATCCTGGGAAAGAATATTTGGATTTATTTTTAGGATATCAGCCATGAAAGGATGTACTTACTTGTCAAATAACAGCCACATGAATGGAAGGACCCAAGGATTCCCGGCAGAACATTACCAAAAGCATCACACTGCCTCTGCCGGCTTGCCTTCTTCCCATACTGCATCTCTGTGCCATCTCTTCCCCAAGTGACCTACATACACCCTGCCATTCATATCATGTAAAAGAAAATGTGATTCATCAGACCAGGCCACCTTCTACCATTGCTCTGTGGTCCAGTTTTGATGCTAATGTGACCAATATAAATGCTTTTGGCTGTGGACACAGGTCAGCATGGGCACCTGACCGGTCTGCAGCTATGCAGCCCCATATACAATAAACTGCGCGATGCCCATTTTCCGCTTTAAACACATTAACTTCAGGGAGAACATGTTTACTTACTGCCTAATATATCCCACTGACTTTCAGATGCCATTGTAATGATATACTAAAATGTAATTCAATTTACCTGTCAGTGGTTTAGCTAGAAGTATTTTTATTGCCATTCCAGAACATGTTGTACATGAAGGAAACAAAATAAAAGTTAAAAGTGTTACTAAACCCAGGACCCTGCATTCACTATATCTGGTCTCCTGCAGAACACACAACACAGAAATGCAATTATAGTAGTAAATATAAAACTGCTAAATACCTTTTCACATCAGCAGTATATAGCAGACTTGTGACTTCTATTTCTATCAGTGTTCAGCTGAGCACTTGTTAAAGCTTGTTTTCATTTCCAAGGCAGTTTTCATTCTGCTCTGACTGTCCTATGAAGCTGCATAACCCCTGACCCTCTGTCTGGACATTGCCAACTGGCCCTGTGCAGATCACATGCACCCTCCCAAAAAAAAAAAAAAAAAACACACACTCTAGCAATACACACTAAACTGAGCATGTGCAGAGGGACTCCTAGAGCTCTGTACTATCAGCAGATGGCTTGGGGACAGTAGAAGGGGAGGGTCAGAGAAGAAGCCAAAACAGCCTTTTTACACAATGTGGAGAATTAACCCGAAGGTTCCACAGTGAATAGAACAAAAGCATACTTTACTGCATATACAGACCAACTTTACTGTTGTGGGCTTAGTAACACTAAAGCCCGGGTTCACACTGACACGGTGGGGAATTCACAACAGTTTATGTGCAAATGCCAAAAAGCACCATAATCGCACCCCGTTCATGCAAACTGCTGAGTGTGTATGTTAAGTGAACAACACCCCGAAAATCAGTTCACAAAACGCGGTGCGAGGTGCAGAATCGGATTGCATGGGTGTGAATACTCATGTGATCCGATTCTAGTGTGAACAAAAAAAAAAAAAAAAGAAAAAGGGCCCTGCACCTTTTTGGTGCGCATACAGTGCGAATTGAGCCATACAAATTGCACCGCACAGAATTTACATGCGATTTGCACAGGAATGCAATCACATATGATATGCCGCACCGCAGAAGCATGAACCCAGGATTAGTCCCAATATTAACAATAAAATGTAACAAAATATTTATGCTCAAATTAAAGGTGTTAAACACCAATGTACTGTATACAGAACAAATAATCAAGTAGAAAAACCTAACTGTACTGAAATATAAATAATTGCTGCACCAAAACAGATATACAATATTGCAGTGAAAGGATACAAAGTAGTAAAAGTCTTTCAAAGAATCAAGAGGGTTCTTTTCCCTTTTATAATCACAAAGTGTGAAAAACACTCAAAAACAGCAAAACGTGTCACTCCCACACCAATGGTCTCCAGAACTGCGCAATGGAGCCAAAAATGTTACTAAACCCACAACAGTAAAATCGGTCTGTATATGCAGTAAAGCATGCTTGTTATACTCTGTGGAACCTGAGGGGTTAATCCTCTGCATTGTGTGAAAAGGCTGTTTGATTCTGCCTTCTCTGATCCTCACTTTCTTTCAGTGTCCCCCTCTTATCTCCTAATAAGACACACTGCACATGCTCAGTTTGGTGTGTATTGCTAGAGGGGTTTTTTTTTTTTCCTTGGGAGAGAGCATGTGATCAGGTCAGGGGTTCTGCATCCTCCTACAGCAGAAATAAAACTCCTCCCACAAGCTTTAACCAGTGCTCTGCTGAACACTGATAGAAGTCACAAGACTGCTCTAACAGCTGATGAGAAAAGGTATTAAGCAGTTAATATTTACTAAAATAATTGCATTTCCATGTAGTGTGTTACTGTAGGAGACCAGCTACAGTGAATGCAGGGTCCCGGGTTTAGTAACACTTTAATTACCTTTTTGTTATCAAAGGTCTAAGTGCTTTTACACCCCAAAATTCCTCCTCAGATCCACCATCATGGTGGCAAACTTCATTTATTATTATACATGATTTATATAGCACCAACTGTTTGCTCAGCGCTTTACAATATAGATTTCTACAGCAATACAATTAAACAATTTCTTCAGGTAGTGTTTTATACAACAACCAACACTAGATAAAACCACTTTTTCATGTGTATATAACCACCTGTTGCAGCTCTGACAGACCCAGAAGTTTGCTTGAATCTCTCATCTGCCTAGAAGTACCAACTTTGTATCTTATACCACTTTAGCAAAAAAAAAAAAAAAAAAAAAACCCACACTGACTAGTGTAATCCCAAGCTCCTACCAACGCGTTTCGTACATGGGTCTCCTACATCTGTACGGGCTGCTGGCCACGACTGTATGCAAACACCTATGATTCCCAGGCACAGAAATAGGTTTCTTGGTGGTGTACAACCACCTGTACCTGTCTGCTTGAATCATTAGCAGTTATTCAGTATATTGCAGAATTTGTTAATCCTAGATTGTAAGCTCCAAGGAGCAGGGCCCTCCTATCCCTCTTGTATTGAACTGTATTGTCTCCCGTTATATTGTAAAGCGCTGAGCAAACTGCTGGCGCTATATAAATCCTGTATAATAATAATCAGGAATGAAGCTGTTCCTTAGCCTGGAGGTTCTAGCCCTGATGCTACAACCTCTGACTTGAAGGGAGGGGGATAAACTAGCCATAAGCAGGATGGGACACGGAGGGCTGTTTTCCTGCATCTACTGTTATAAATATAAATAATAGTTTGTTCTGTCCCACCTTTATATATTTTTCTGATGCAGTGAATTGTGTCAGGTTGCTATTCTTCAGATGTATGCCGACATCTAATGGTGGTTTAGAAATTGCTACAATTTATGTAATTTGGTAACTCCCTCTGTCCTCCCCACCAGTTCAGTACTAGCCACCCTCTCCGTTTCTTCCACGTTGCCTCAGCTAGTATTAGTTCTTTGCAGGAAGAAGGCTTAGGCAAGTCATTGTTTAACCACTTGCCCTCCAGGAGGATTTATCCCCCTTCCTGACCAGGCCATTTGTTTGTGATACGGCACTGCGTTACTTTAACTGACAATTGCGTGGTCATGCAATGCTGTACAGAAATGAAATTCTTTTGGTGGCATTTGATCACCTCTGTTTATTTTTTGCGCTAAAAAAACAAACAAAAAAAAAAATTATATAATATATTTATTACTTTTTGCTCTTAAACATGTCCAGTAAAAAGGTTTTTTGAAAAAACAAAATTTCGTCAAAAATTTAAGGCAAAATGTATTCTGCTGCATATCTTTGCTTAAAAAAAAAAAAAAAAAAAAAAAATCCCAATACATGTAAATTAATTGATTTACATGAAAGTTACACATGACTGTATATATACACACTGGAATTTTTATTTTTTGAATTTTTTTTCTTTTTTTTTTTATCTAGTAATGGCGGCGATCAGCGACTTAGCGGGATAGCGGGACTGTGGCAGGCATTCTGACACTGGGTGAGAACTGCCAGTGACATCCCCAGTGACACTAATACAGTGATCAGTGCTAATAAAAAGCACTGATACTGTACTAATGACACTGGGCAGGAAAGGGTTGACTTTTTGGCGATCAAAGGGTTAACTGTGTGCCGTGTTTTACCTTGGAGACATGCTATTTTGGATTTTTCTGCTGTGCAAAGAAATACAAGACAGCATGTCCTTGCTGGCAGGAGAGAGACCTGTGCCGGAAGGGAATATCCGTCTAGGACCTGGTGATTGGCATGCCTAGTTGCATAATATATATTTTTATTTATTTATTTATTACACAAACACAGAATATATATATATATATATATATATATATATATATATATATATATAAATAAATAAAAAAACACACACACATATACTAACACACACACACGTGATTTTGCGCAGCCCTGTAGCAGTAGTCCTACTATAGGGCGACAGGGAAGCGGTTAAGAAAAGAAAACATCTCCTGTACTGCACTTGTCTGCATTGGATTCAACTTCTGTTTCTTATTAAAGAGTTAAGCTGCTTGTGGATGGAGCCAAGTCAGCAGTTGACCATACTGTCCACACAGACTGGGTATATCCATGCACAAAGCAGCATTTGAAATAGAACATGCTTGGCAGACTAATGCCAGTAATCCTGAAGGCCGTCTTTACCAGCAGCTGCAGTGGCTGTCAGCAGCAGAGCAGTTACTATTCATCAGTGATGCAGGAGGCAGGAATACTCTCCAGCACACAATTATAAAAGTAAATGAGGGCTGAAGTGCCAAGGCCAGCGTACTTCAGCCTCCCCGAAAGGTAAAGGCATCAGTCAGCTTCTTTCACTAGGCTGGCTGCACTGGTGCTCCCGATCACATTATTAGAGGTGTGTACTGATAGATATTTAAGACAGAAGACCACCTCAACAACGGCACCACCTTCAAGCAGAATGGGGGAGGAGTGGTGCCAGTCTTCTTAAACCGGAACTAAAACCATTGATTTAACAGTTTAAAAAAAAAAAAAAAAAAAAAAAAAAAAAAAACACACAACAACACAGTTACACTCCCAGCATGCTGCAAATTTAACTGTCAATTCTGCTTGTGTGCTCAACCAAACTGTCAAACCATCAAATGTCTGGAGTCATCGCTGATCACATGTGCAGCACCATGGCAGTTGCAGTTCAAACAGAGGCTAAGATGACAGCTTCCTTGGCTGAAATAATAGGAGGGTTTAGTTCCACTTTAGTGTGCTGAGCCCATATAAAAGTTCTGTATGTCACTCAAAAAAAAATTACTAGTAGATTTCTCCACCCACACTATACAGTGTAGATCAGTGGTAGGCAACCTTAACGAGATGGAGATCTACCTGAACAACATGGGAGAAGTCAAAGATCACCGGGCACAGTGTTGCCTCCTCACAACTGATTTAAACTTCTAATGGCTGTACTACCATTATACAATCATGGGTTTAAATCAGGTGATGAGGCAACATAACGACTCCTCGCCACCTGTCAAACAGACTGGGATTGCTTTGCAGAGGAGCAGCAATACTACTGCAACTGTGAATGAACCCTTCGTTGTAATGGGCAACAGTACCCTAAGGGATTGTTCACTTGTAAAGTTGGGGGGTGGTAAAACACTGCCGTTGAATCATGGTTTTTCCGCCACCAAATCCCCACCCCCCTTTAACTGCTGAGGCAGCAGTCAAAGGTGTACACATGCCGTGGCAAAAAAATTACATCTCCTGTTGCTTTTGGTGGGTGGTACCGCCTGTTAATCGAGACTAATTCAAGTAAATGGCCACTCTGCAAGTATGCTTGTGCAGGGTCCAAGGACTAAATCAGGTGGTGAGAAAGCAACATGCCGCTGCCTGTTTAACCCCTTGTTTACTGTACTGTACAAGGCTGCAGGGCAATTGCAGAGCGTTCTCATTCACTTGAATGGGTCATGCTTGGCAGGTGCTACACCCTCCAACCATGACAGGGCACAAGAGTAGCACTACAGAGGAGTCATCAACTTGTGCGGCTCTTGCTCCAACTTGACGCGTAGTCTCTCTGCATTGCACTCTGACGTCAGCAAGCCCAGACCGAATTCTACCAGTCACCGGGCCAAGATCTACTGGTTGCTGACCCCCAGAGTAGATGGACAGATCTACCACTGCAGATATTGTATGACAAACAGCATCGGTGACTTCATCTGATTGGATGCACCCGCTGTTCAACAATTTTCCACCTGGCTCCTTTCATTTTTAAAAACGATTTTCATGATTTTTTGATTGAAGAATGTTGGCCAAGAGGGGGCTAACAGGGCCACCTACAAAGCAAATTTAGGCCAGTTCATCAGAAACCAAATTAAATTTGAGAAGTACACGGTCAGCTCAAAATCAACAAATCTACTTTGCTTCCTTCACATTGATGGAGTTAGTATTTGGCGCCGGACCTTATTATTAACTTAATAAGCACTGCTGTGGTACTTTGTTTGAATACATTGTAATTGGATGTATTCATCAGGCACGCAGGATGGATTAATGACGTAGCGATCTCAGAGTTATTTGTCAGCTAGAGTTATTTCACCGACATGGGAAGGCTCTGCTAGCATGTATTTTATTTTTATTGGGGTTGTTTTTTTTTGGTCGATGCTTTTTTAATATGAACGAATATATTTTGTTTATTTTATTATTTATTGTGTAGTATATTCAAGATTTAGTAGATACAGACACACCAGCACTGGCTTGAAGCCTGTTATATCTGTTTCTTATGTTTATACTTATATTTACTTGGGGAGGAATCACTATGAATTGATTTTGAGGGTAAATAAATATATAGTAACATTAGGGGTCATATATAGCTGATGTAGTCGGAACACTTGCTTTATCGAATTCTTTGTAAGAGAACGGTGATCTCTAAGAAATGTTATATCTGAATGGTCAGACTGCAAAAATAAATAAATATTTAATCTGAAAGGGTCACTGTAAGGGAAATATGGCACAGCAGTTCATGTCCATAGTAAAAAGGGGGCGTCATGCAAGTGGAGAGTGACCCTATTAGAGACAACCAGCCAAGTTGGGCATTTGGAAAAATCTAAATCTCTGCCTTCCTCTTAATTGATTATATTAGTGAAGACTTTGTCCTCATGGACAGAGTTTGTGCTGTCACATATATTCTCTCCCTATCATAGGTGAAGAAAAGTGGAGGCTGTCCTCTCCTGTGTGTATGTGATAGGGAGTGATTGATGCAACCCTATGTATTTACAGCACATTGCAGGGCACCGCAACAAACAGTGATAGGGTTACCTAAAACAAAAGTTATCAATGGCAGCTCCTGTATTCCTCAAAGGTTCACTTTATATTAAAGTGATACTAAACCCAGGACCCTGCATTCACTATATCTGGTCTCCCACAGTACACACAACATGAAAATGCAATTATTTTAGGAAATATAAACTGCTAAATACCTCTTCTCATCAGCAATTAGAGCAGTCTTGTGACTGCTATCAGTGTTCAGCTGAGCACTGGTTAAAGCTTGTCGGAGGAGTTTTTGTTCTGCTCTAGGAGGATGTAGAACCCCTGACTTCTGTCTGGACAGTGCTGGTTGGCCCTGTGCTGATCACATGCACTCTCCCAAGAAAAAAAAAACAAAACCTCTCTAGCAATACAAACCAAACTGAGCATGTACAGAGTGACACCACACGATATGTCTTATCAGGAGATAAGAGGGGGGCACTGGAAGAAGGGGAGGATTAGAGAATACCTTTTCTCATCAGCAGTTAGAGCAGTCTTGTGACTTCTATCAGTGTCCAGCCAAGCACTGGTTAAAGCTTGTAGAAGGAGTTTTCTTTCTGCTCTAGGAGGATGCAGAACCCCTGACCTCTGTCTGGACAGTGCTGATTGGCCCTGTGCTGCTCACGTGCACTCTACTAAGGAAAAAAAACAACCTCTAGCAATAAACACCAAACTGAGCATGTGCAGAGTGACTCCACACAATATGTCTTATCAGGAGATAAGAGGGGGGCACTGGAAGAAGGGGAGGACCAGAGAAGTCAGGATCAAACAGTCTTTTTACACAATGCAGGGGATTAACCCCTTAGGTTCCCAGTGAGTATAACAAGCATGCTTTACTGCATATGCAGACCTTTTTTAATATTGTGGGTTTAGTAACACTTTAAGGCTAGGTTCACACCTATGCAGTGCTTTTTGCATACGTGTTTTTGGTGTATTTTTTTTTTACGCATATTAATGGTTATTTTTGGCCAACCTGTTGCTGGGCATATTAAAAATGCAAAATGCGTCAAAAGCACACTTCCATGTATTTCTGCAGCATCTCCATTGAAGTATTTTGAACCAAAAAGCACCGTTTTGCGTTTGAAATCCTCTAACCTTTTCCAAAAAAACAGTCCGGCTGAAAACATGGAGATGTAAACTTCACCCATAGGAAATCATATTAAATGGACTGTAGGGCTTTTCTGCATAACACACCACAAAAAGAGTAGGTGTGGACCTAGCCTGACACAGAACTAAACCCTTCTATCCTTTACAACAAAGAAAGTGGCCATCATAGCCTCTGATCTGTAGTTGTCATGGTGCTGCTCACATGATCAATTATGGTATGGAGCACAAGCAACTGTGACAGTTATCACTCATGACATGAATAAATGTGACTTTTTTGGGAAACTTAAAGCGATAGGTTTAGCACCAAGCTATTGGGTGTGGTTTTTTAAAGCTGACATTCACCCAAAAGGGGAAGATCCGCTTATCTGCCTCCTCGTTGCCACCTCCCCATTTGGCACTTTCTTGGGCAGGGGTTGGGCAGAGCAAGTACCTGGTTTTGACAGGTACCTGCTCCCACTTCCGGTCAGATGCACCATGGTGATCTGAGCCAGAAGTTCAGCCCCTCTTCTTTCCTCCACAGCCTTCTAAGACACTTTGCAGGTCACAAAGCGCAGCACACTTCACGCATGCACAGTAGGAAACCAGCTGTGAAGCTGCAAGGCTTCACTTCCAGTTTCCCTTACTACATAAGTGGGCTCTTGTACCCAAAGTTAATTGAAAAATTGTCACAGGTGAGGACATTGCTGGATCCCTAGACAGGTAAGTGTCTTTATATTAAAAATTAGCCGCGACAGTATTTGTAGCTGCGAACTTTGAATTTTTGGGGGAGCCTGGAGCTCTTCTTTAAGAGCTCATCATCCAGCATATGTAAAAGTACAAAGGTAGTTTTGATCAGTACCAAGTTTAGTACACTTGAATGCCAAAATGTTAAAGTAGAGCTCCACCCAAAAGGGGACGTTCCGCTTTAAGGCTTCATCCCCTGCTCCCAGTTAAAGATTGGCACCTTTGGGGCATGGGGGGTACCTGAATTTGACATGTACCCGCTCCCACTTCCGATGCAATCACCTAGGCTATCGGAAGTTGTTCTGCTGCTGATTTTTTTTTTTTTTTTTTTTAATTTTGACTGGACCTTCACAAGTTTAAAAGGAACTCCAGGAATTATCTTTGTTGCCAACTTATTTTGGTCCAGCTAGGCTTGATGTAATTATCTATTTCTTATATCTGGATGCCTGCTGAGGATGAGGATCTTCCGATTCCATTCCAGTGATTTGTCCTGGACAATTAACATAGGGGGGTGGGGTCAGAGGAGACTAAAATTGAGCTCTTTGGCATTAACCCGACTCATCTTGTTTGGAGAAAGAAAAATGCTGACTATGACCCTAAGAACACCATCCCTACAGTCATGCTTTGGGGCTGTTTCTCTGTAAAAGGTACAGGCCAACTTTGCCGCATTGAGGGGCCCATGGACGGGGCCATGTATTCTAAAATCTTGGATGAGAACATTCTTCCTTCAGCCAGAACACTGAAGATGGGTCGTGGATGGAACTTCCAGCATGACAATGACCCAAAACATACCACCAAGGCAACAAAGGAGTAGCTCAAGAAGAAACACATTAATGGAGTGGCCTAGCCAGCCTCCAGACCTTAATCCTATATAACATTTATGGAGGGAGATGAAACTTCGAGTTGCCAAGCAACAGCCAAGAAACCTTAAGGATATAGAGAAGATCTGTAAAGAAGAGTGGACCAAAATCCCTCCTGAGATTTGTGCAAACCGGGTAACCAACTACAAGAAATGTCTTACCTCTGTGCTTGCCAACAAGGGTTTCTCCACCAAGTACTAAGTCATGTTTTGCTTGGGGATCAAATACTTATTTTACTCACTGAACTGCAACTCAATTTATAACATTTGTATCAGGTGTTTTTTTCTGGATTTTTGGTTGATATTCTGTCTCCATTATTTAACCACTTGCCTACCAGGTACTTTTATCCCCTTCCTGCCCAGGCCAATTTTCAGTGCTGTTGCACTTTGAATGACAATTGCACGGTCATGCAACACTGTATCCATATGATATATATATTTTTTTTATAGAGCTTTCTTTTGGTGGTAATCACCACTGGGTTTTTTTATTTTTTGATAAACAAACCAAAAACAACTGAAAATTTTGAAAAAAAAAAAAAAAAAAAAAAAAAAAAAAGTTTTCTTAATGTCTGTTATAAAATTTTGCAAATGAGTAATTTTTCTTCTTCACTGATGTGCGCTAATGAGGCTGTAGTGATGGGCACTGATAGGCGCACTGAGGAGGCATTGGTAGGTGGCACTGATGGGCAATGACAGGCAGTATTTATATATGGCACTGATAGGCGGCACTGACTAGCACAGATAAGCGGAACTGACTGGCACTGATATGTGGCATTGATGTGCACTGGTAGGCACTGATATGTGGCATTGATGGGCAATGACAGGTGGCAATGATCATCAGTGCCCTGATGATCAGTGAAGATATCTCCTCTGAGGGATGCCGATTGCCGGCTCTCCTCTCCTCACGGGCGGTCAGCGTGACAGCTCGTAAGGAGAGAAATGCCGATAACCGGCATTTCCTTATTTACATGCAATCAGCTGTGATTGGACACAGCTGATCACATGACCGAGCCGAAGTCATCAGCTCTTTCCGGTGATCTACTGTGTCCCATGGAGACAGCGCACCACCGATCGCCGCGCCACGCGAGATTAGAGTGGAAGGACGTCATTTGGCATCCTCCCAGAACAAGAGAACCACCTTGCGTCCGTTCATTTCATATATGGCGGGCAGGAGGCGGTTAAAATACATCCATGATAAAAAAGTATAGACCCTTCAATTCTCTGTAGGTGGGCAAACTTACAAAATCTGCAGGGGAACAAATAATTATTTTCCCCACTGTATACTATCTCTGATTGGAGGAGGGCAAATTGCGACATCATCCACCTACCATTTCCACCTTGTCTAATTAGAGACATCCTTGTATTGATTGGGAAAAAAAAAAAATGGCAAGTTGTCCTCTGAATGGTGGTGGGACAGAGCGAGTGACCCCTGTGCTCACTATCCAGAGGGGGAAGTTGCTCAAGCAGCATCTGGAAGATAGCAGTGATCACTTATGTAGCGCGGTATTCAGCATCCCCAGCTGTTATCCAGATATAAGAAATGGATAATTACATTGTGCCAAGCTGGACCAATGTGTTGCCAAGAGGGCCAGGATGACACATCTGTGTGCTGTGTGTAGGCAGACTATTCATTTCACTGGGCTGTCCCACCCCTAGAAACGCAGCAAACAGAAGTCCCTATTATTACAATAAACAAAATAAATAAAGAAGTCCTTATTATTATAACAAAATAAATAAAGAAGTCCCTATTATTTAAACCTGCGCCGCACCAAGTTGCATACAGCTGCAGCACTATGTGATCTGACACGTGCGCTCCATTTACTGATGAATGGGCGCTATTAGGAAATAATGGACACACCCCCCCCCCCCCCCCCCCCCCGTGAGTCTGCTCAGATCCTGCAGCCCATGAACATTTGCAATCCTGGGAGCGCTCCTGACCCACACCAGTGTGAACCTACCCCAAAGAGAATTCCTGGAATCCCCCTTTAAATCTCGCTCTGTACTTGACATGGTCTCCACTATTTACAAACAACACACCATTGCTGACAACTTCCACAAACACACAAAACATTCACTTCTAAAGCTCCCATCAATCCCAATAAACTCTCCCTCTGGGGTGATCAGATTCAAGTACCGATCTGCTTCTGGCATTGCAGGATTTGGTCCAGAGCTGTGTGATTGGGTGTCGGGTAATACAGATTGATGACACCCTATAGAGGGGGGGACCTACACAGCCTTCATCGGAATTCAGCCAGAGCCATGACGTCATCACCAGCACTATGCTCACTTTGCAGGCACCAATGACGTCACCGGTGTGGGCTGAGAAGTGTTTCAGCAAAGTGCAGTGGGTGGTCGGATTTCAGCAGGGCTGTCATGCGGCACCGGGGGCCCCGTGTCTGACCGCAGTGATCCCATAAACTTCACCGCTCCAGCGATCCCAGGACGTATCACCGATCACAAGGACGGCTGAACATGCAACTTGCCGGCTCCGGCCATGTACGGGCACACCGCAGTCCTGGCACTGTCAGGACTGGTGATGGAGGGCGGCCCGGGGCCCCGGAGAAGGCTGCGGGCGAGGAGGACTTACCAGAGGAGGAGGATGTCACATCCCGGGGACACCGACACTGCAGCCTCACCGATCACCGGAGCCTCCTCCCGGCTCACACGGATGATGCTCGGTCCTCTCCTCTCTCCGCAGTTCTCTAGCCGGGTAACCGATCGCCCCTCCCTGCAGTCAGTGGCATGT